GGAACCCAGACTTTGCGTCGAAGGAAATCTAGTGAACGTCGGTCATTTACTGGGGAACGAGTCTTACCATTCGTCTTACAAAAATGTAAACACTGCCGAGATCGCTGAGTGAGTAGTGCCTAAAACTTTAACATTTTGATTGGCCCGGCAGCAAAAATGTTGGTATTAAACGAAGGTTGATCCTTTTCATGAAGAATTGTAAGACTCAATTTTATCCAGTTATTGCAAATACAATCAGGTGCACTTGAAACAGAGGAGGTCTGCAATTTTCGTGAAAAACACTAAGCAAGTTTGCGTCCAAATAAATCGTTGGGAAATTGTCGATCATCGCCGAAACATAACTTTATTGATAGTGAAAAACGTGAACTATCCACTCGCCAAGCCATTTCGACCCACGAATGAAGCAACAGATTTCCTGGCGGGTAGAAGAGACACTACTGTATTTTCGCTTTTCTCGCAAACTCTCATGTACTTGTGAGATCGTTTTTGCGTGTAAATGGAATTGCCAAAAATGCTCCTTAACAGAGGGGTTGCATGCTGACTGGTAGCCCCGTGAGAAGTACTCAGTTCCCATATGATTATTCAGTAAACACATCTTGTATTTATAAATGTTTGAATAATAATGGTTGAGTTGTTGGGGACCCTCCTGCCTTATTGTTTAATTGCAAGTTTGGTGGGTACAGTACACTAAACTGTATACACATCATCCTAAAAAAGCGCACTGCTTTTTGTGTACTGCTAAACATGTTGGCTCGGTGGACAAATGGAAAAGACGGCCTGTAATAAGGTTAAAGAAGCAGTGAACTTTTCGTATTTAAGGTATATCAATGAACTGTTCAGTGATAAATTTGACAAGAAACACTTTGCCTTTGTGCGCAGTCAAAGAAAAGATGAACTTCCTTCCGTCATCAGCCATCAAGGTGCTACCATTCATAATTCTGATTTAATTGCCCACACTTTGATTCCATTTTTGTTCCCCCAAAACAAACTTGCCCAACAGCCCTCCTCTCTGTTCCCTCCCAATTCCTACCTTGAATGAAATCAAGTTCAATATTGGTGATATAGAGCGAATTGTTGGCAACATGTCTGATGACAAATCGCCGGGTCCTGATGGCATCACACTAAGACTCTTGAAGTCGTGCATCAATGTTGTTTCACCTATTCTTTGCAATTTCTTCAACATGTCACTCTGCTGTGGGGAATTGCCTAGTATGTGAAAAAAATCCAACATCACGCCAGTTTTCAAATCTGGCGATGTCAGCACCATTTTTAACTATCAGCCCATTGCTCTGACTTCGATATTTTGCAAGGTCATGGAATCTATCATCGCTGAAAATATCAGAGTTCATTTAGATGATAACATTCTGCTATCACGTGACCAGCATGGGTCTATTAAGAATTGTTCTTGTGTAACCCAGCTCTTAAATGTCACAAACAACTGTTTGCATATTCTTGACAATCCTCAGACTTGTCAAATTGATGCAGTCTTTCTGGATTTTGCCAAGGCTTTTGATGAGATGCCACATGACACCTTACTTAAAAAGATTTTTCGCCACTTCAACATTACTGGTAATCTATGGCTGTGGTTATGATCCTTTATTTCTGGCAGATCTCAGCGAGTCTTGTACAGAGGCTCGTACTCTCCATGGCTCCCCGTCTGCTCAGGTGTGCCTCAAGGTAGCATGCTAGGCCCTCTACTCTTCAATTTGTTCATCAAGGATCTCTCTAATTGTACCGAATCACCCACTGTGTTATTTGCTGATGATACATGTACTTTGTTATGTTGACTAATACATTCCCAGACAGATGAAGCAATTCTCAAAGATGACATTGACAGAATTTCTAAATGGTGTGTGAGTAACCGCGTGCGACTTAGTACAAGTAAAACAAAGGTTATGCAAGTTACTTAGTCCCAAAATGCTCTCAACCCCCAGTATATATTGAATAATTCTCAGCTTGAAGTTGTTCATAAGATGACATGCCTTGGTGTTGTTCTAACTGACAACATAACCTGGGATGATCATGTCCATTATGTTACCACGAAAGCTATTAAATTACTGGGTTTTATACCTAGTGTTGCCAGGGACATACATGTATTTCAAGATGCTTTTCTGTCCCTGTATAAGTCTTTTGTTTTGCCATATCTAGAGTATGGGCTTCCCATTTGGCACCTCTATAGTAATCACCTTTGTGAGAAGATTGAAAAGATCCAACGTACGGCCACTGGTATGATCCTAAGAAAAAGGATAATGGAAATGAGTTTACAATGATGGACTGAAAATCCTCCATTTGTGCACTCTCACGTGTAGGAGGAAATTTCTTTTGATATCATTTATTGTCAAACGCTTTATGGTGTAATTAATAGCAAAGTAGTTGTCTGTGATGTTATGGTCAGTGGACAGAAAATTGACGAGGTCAAGTTCAAACACATCGGGGCTCGGACCCAAAACTCCACATCTCACCAGTGAACGTCTCTCCCCGTTACTGGGAAGAACTCCCAGAGAGTCTTAGAACTGGGGTGGTTGAGCTACCTCTGAAACGATGGATCAACTCACCCAAGACCGAATTATATAATATCGATTGATTCCAAAAATCTGTGTAGCTTTATTGCCTTTTTATAACCTATTTTTAATTTTACCTAATCTTTTATTAATTCTCACTAACTCCCCATTTTTTTTAGGCTGATCTTAGCCTATAAATAATTATTTTATCCTGTTTCATTTTTATCTAATTTATTTAGTCTTGGTGATTTTACTTTATTCATTTTATTCTGCTACTTCTTATTTATGATTTATTTGTTTATTTACTGATTTATTTACTGGAAGGATCAAACCTTTTTTAACATTTACAATTAAATTTATATATATTTTTATGTGTTGTTTAAGGTCAGTATTATCGGAAACGGAGGCCCTTGGGCCACAGTCATAAGTTTATCTTTTTTATCTCCTGGCATTTGCTGCTGGCCTTGTGTATCTTACATGTATTGTGCTGTGTCCTTGTGGAGAATGCTGAATAAATGATAATAACATCTCAAGATCAGGGCACATGTGGCACATGTACATTGTACACCTGTATGCCATACTGTATTCAAAAGTCATGAAGGACTACATGTATTGTCCAACTGGAAAAGAATGGAGGAACCTGTGCAATAACAAGAGGTGAATGGACTCAGCCATATGACAAGTACCTACATGTAACAAAATGTCCAGCATGCTAAATGTCTTCTGTTGTTTTCTCTTGTTTGGCATGCAAATACACATAGAAATTGTATACATGTACAGGTACAAGGAAGTAAGTTAGCGGCTGAGTGCTGCTACTGTGCTGTACATGCATGTGGCTGTTTGCAGATTATCTATGTACATGGTGTACAGTTATTTTCTCACAAACATATTAAAATACGTACATTTTTATGAATTGTACAGCTTACACAATATGCAACTGATCTCTTTTCCAAACATAAAGAGCTCAAACTCTTTGATAGTGTCACCTGCAGTACAGAACTTTTTAGCCACAATACATGTGGTAGTGTTTTTCAGTTTATTTTCTACATACTGAACATGTACATTTACCAGTACATTGCACAGGTAAACAGGATATGCAGGCTGAACTTCCTCGTGGTATGCACCCTGGCCTTGTAGGATTTCCTGGAGTTTAAGAGAACCATCAAAGGAAATGATATTCTGAGCCATTCTGAGTTTTGCTGTAGTGCTCAACTTTCAGTTTTGCTCATATACAGTACATACATGTAGTCAACTTGCTTGTCACCTGACACCTGTTTCAGACACAATGGTAGAACTGTGATACCTTTTGCAGGGGAATGCTTAGTTAGGGGCTGTCATTTTCAGGAGGGGAGCAGTGTTCTCACCAGTTTTTTATGTCAGTGTAGAGGATGAGCTCCCGGGGGGGGGGGACAAGCAGGCTACTGGACATTGTTTGACACCTGGGGCACTATTTAAACACTTTTGTGTTATAGATATTGAACTTTTATTGGTCACGAATTGATCATGTGAAATGCTTCAATCACACATGTATCATTCAAGCATCGTGTGCCCTGGTGGTGTTGGCGGGCCACTCTTCCCCTGAACCCAATCAGTCTCTCACCCCATCCCTTAACCCGGCCCCTAGAACTCGGCTGTGCCTCTCTTGATTTTTTGGAAACTCAGCAGGCATGTAAAGGCATTCCTTATTATTACAAGTGTGAAATTTGAACTCAATCAGACGTATGATTTTGTTGTTACCGTCATTTGAAGTTCAATGCTACAATGTACATGTGTGCCAGCCAGCTTGCATGGGGCACCGCAGTGGAAAGTGTATCCATATTTTTGGCTGATCCGTCTCTGAAAAATTTTTAACTACAAAGAGTTACTCTCAAAATCTCAAAGGCTCAAGCCCTTAAAACAATGCACTGTGGGTATATCGTGAAAAAATGTTGAGGGGGGATTCCGCCCCCTTCCTGGATCTTTTAGGGGGAGTACATTTAACCTCTGCCTTAAAAATACTCCGAGTCCCTTGCTCTATTTCAGCCATCCAGTGTCCAAAGTAAACAAATGCATGTATATCTGACCATTGAATTCATTTTTTAAACTTCACTTCAACAACTGTGGTTAGGACCGATTTAAAGTATGCAAATTTAAAATCTCAAAGGCAGTTAGATTCATGTCTTAATGCCACTGTAGAATAGTGCTTCATTCTGATTAGTGTTGAAGCTGAAATTGAGTCTTAGTCAAGGAAGGTTGGCATCAACATAAACATGTACCGGTAGGTTGACATGACACCAGTGTGAAATGGTCTCAGGATGGGTAGTAAATGTTATCATAATTTATCATTTGTTTTCCAGTAATCAACCAGTACAGGCCAACAGATGCCACCACAAATCCATCCCTCCTCTTGGCTGCTGCTAAGATTGACAAATACAACCATCTGATAGAAGATGCAATCAACTATGGCAAGAAAAATGGCAGGTAATGTGCTCAAAGGATCCCCAGAAAAGCAGAGAGAGAAATAAGTATGACTGTTTCTGCAAAAACCTGGTCAAGAATCGTAACAGCAGCATCAGCATCTAATCTTCAGCTAATTGTCACTTTGATAGTGTGGAAAGTGGTGTACTCTTTGCCCGGTTGACATAAAATGGTTCCAAAAACCTTTTCCTTGTTCTGTCAACAGTGATACACGAGTGTTGTATTATTTTACCCATTTTCAGCAACGTAAGTGATTTTAATGTCATGCACTGTTTCGCAGGTGGAAGCATGGAATATGTTTTGTTGTCATTTGTTTTGCAACTTTGCCGTTCTGTGTATTCTTCAGTTTTAACGAGTAACAATGAAGTTGTTTAAAACGGCATAAATTTGTGTATACAGAGCTGAAAGTGTATCTACTTCAGAATGCACAAGTTAGTCTTTTATAATACGCAGAGAATTTAAACAGGTTTTCCTACATGTAATTGCCACCTAAATATTTTACTCAGGAATTTCTTACTTCATGAATTTCAAGACGGAGATTGATTCGTTTGAGATATAAAGATGTAGATGTACCACCAATGCCTTATCATTTCTTAAGTACATACTGACAAAAAGTGACATGATTTTTTTAAAGTGTTCTCAAGGAGCAGGTCACATCAACCATGGACAAACTCTTTGTCAATTTTGGAGTGGAAATCCTGAAGATTGTTCCAGGGAGGGTGTCTACAGAGGTAGATGCTCGGTGAGTGTGTTTGCGATAATGAGGTCTGACTTTTATATAATCATTTGACCCTCTGGAAATAATGCTGTGAACATTCTCATGTATTGTAAATTCTAGCAAATCCAGCTGTTTGTATAGTTTTGATATAGTTGATTTACATGTATTGTTTGTCCACACTGAGTTACATATACATGTATGCACCGGATGTATTTGAACAGCATATCTTGTACAAGCACTGGCATGTTCATGTATGTACTGTAGGCTTTTTACTTTGGCCTTTAACATTCTGTTTCCATTTCTCATTAATATCTAAAGCATTCCAACTTACACACTTTGTGTTGGATTTGGATATTCACTTTGTCACAATTGTAGCATGTCTTTCCTTTAGTCATGCTTTGTCTTGATGGAAAAACTGGCTGTGTTTTCAAAAATTTGACTGAACAGACAGGTGGCAGCTAAGAAAATGTGATGTGCATAGCATTATACATGTGTACATGTACCTTAGCATTTCAAGAAAAGGCAATAGTTACTATATCAGCTGACTATGGACTGTAACTTTTAAATGAACAAATAAGCAAGAAGTTTTGGTAAAAACAGCCCATAATTGTCATGAAAATGAGTTTATCATACACTTTGTTTGCACCTGAGTTTTGAGAGCATTGGTAGCCTGTCAGACTTCACTGCTGATAAGAAGCAGGAGCTTGACACCTCAGTGTTGTTGTCCCAGGCGTCAGGCAATAGGATTTGTCAACCCCTTGCCATTGCTATTTGCAAAGGCAGACCCAACACCATGTACTGTAGTGCAGGATCAGCAAGATAACGACAAACGTACATGTACTGGTATCTGGCACCCATATTGACTATTATCCTTTTGATAAAGAATAACTGTGAAAATAGGCGTTAGGTTACTACAGTTGTTAATCAAACACTTACATGTACTTACTGCAGTAATGGCCAATCTTGGGGAAGCCTTGTGGTCTCCTGGAACCAGTACTATGACATCTTTTGATTTGGCCCAAAGTCTGGTGTTGAGGTGTACATGTGTTTCGCACCTAATTATTTAAATTACATGTACACTGTAGTTAGCTGGTATTTATTCGTAGTTAGTCAAAATATAACAAATTGCAAACCTCAGAAATGAAAGTAGAAGTTGAATGTATGTGATCACATGAATGAGTGAGAGCACTTCTACAGTACAAATGTATGCCTTTAGTTATCCACTACACCTTAGTCACAAACAAAATCAAACTATATTGTACATAATTGTGGTGCCTATAGTCAGGTTGGTGCAGTTGTTCTTTCCTGGCCTTCCAACTCTGTGAACCAGGGGTCCAATCCCATTTGGGTCTACATACATGTATGGATTAGGGTTTTGATCCCTACAGTACCTGTAAGGGTATTTTCCTCCCACCCCTTAAACTGAACATTTCTTCATTGTCACTTATAACCATCCTGTACAAACAGACAGCTGATGTGCTATTGGATGAACACTACCAGTCCACATGCTCACAGAAAAATGTCAGGATTACATTGAGGCAAAGGCCTGCTGGGATGGTAGCCAGACTTGTTTCATTTCTCACCATTTGATGTCAATGGTATAACTGAAAGGTGGTCTGTTGGAGACATAATTACTAACCTTTGCTCTCCAATACTTTGTTTCAGTCTGTCATATGATGTTGAGCGTCAGGTTTCTAAGGCCAAGAAGCTGATAGCATTATATGAGGATCAGGGTATCAGCAAGGAGCGAGTTCTCATCAAGCTCAGCTCAACATGGGAGGGCATTCAAGCTGCAAGGTAATACAGATGCACCTGTTAAAGTCCTTGAATGGTGAAATATAGTAAAATCTCAACAGCTCCTACACGTACATGTACAAGTACCTCAATGGAATAGATGAAAGAATTGAGTATTCTGGATCTCGAGCTGACAAGAGTTTCAGAGTCTTGTCCACGCATGCACACATCTAACATGGCACTTTCAAACCGAAGTAAACCAAACTGATCAGTGTGGATGTTAGGCTTTAATGTGGCATTGATAGCGCCCAGAATGCACACGAACAGAATGAATGCACACAGAATGCACGCAAACAATGAAAAATAGATAATGAGTTGTGCCGCACCGGCACCTGGCACTTTCTTTCTAATAAACAATTATTGTGAACCGTTGCACTCGTAAACATTCTTTAATTATCAATAGACTTTATTCATAGGGTTAGCTATATTGCAGTTGTAAACACGGTTAACTCCTCATTGTTGGAGCTTTAGTAAAAAAGTGAAAGAAATTAAATGAAATTTCATGAAAAACTACCGTCTATTGATTGCTCTGACAAACAAATTTCAAATTGATGATTAATTATGCAAGTGTTTTCGTGTTTCCAACCAGATTTTCAAAAAATATGAAAAGGGAGGCTTGGAATGCATGCCAAGCTGTAATAGTCTGGTACTATCCAAATCATCAGTTTGTAGATAATAAAACTGGAATCCTGTCATCAAAATTGCCTCAAAATTGGATAAAGTCTACACGTACATGTATGTAAACGTATGCAGTCAACTTCTGCCAAACTTCTGTTTTCAAGATTTAGATTGCTGCATAGTAGTGAATTTGAAAATGGTAGAGGTAGCAGTTTAATGCATTGGTTGCTGTGGAAACATTAATTTTGTTTTTCTTCCTCCATGGCCAACCTCAGGATTCTGGAGACAGAATGTGGCATCCATTGTAACCTTACCCTCCTCTTCTCCTTTGCTCAGGTAAGATTTCTTAATTATGAAGGCCATGAAAATGGCAGTCATAGATGTGCATCCACACGTTTTGGAAAAACGTGAAGCTAGTTTTTCTATTTTCATTATTCGTCATTTTTAATAACACTTCTTCATCATTTTTCACCATTCTTCTATGGTTTCACAAACAACAGTGACCATAAAAGTCGAAGGTCAAGAAATAATATGTCAAAACAGTTTTCTTCAAGTCAAACCTCCATCCTGTCTATGGAGGTTTTTAATCACATACCGGTAACATGGCAAAAGATGATTCAAAATGAAACGGAGCAGATAAGAACATCACAAGAGTGAGTAGATTATGGGAGAAGCCTAGATGGCACAAGTTTACATTTCTTGCTTGTGTGACATTGTAATTTTAAGAATGGTCTTGGTGCATCATGAATAATGTTGTGGGATACCTTAGCAAGCAATACATAAAACTGGATTTCAAATTCTTCTTTTAATGATTCTTGTTGATGAATTACCAAAACGAGGATTTCTTGTTTGTTCGTTAATCAACATAGTTTTCAAACAGCCTTGTGTTCACCGAGCAAACAATGTTGGATTTACAAATCAGACTGGATGGTCAACTCTCAAGCTAGACAGAAGGAACTGTTGTAAATGCAGTTTCTTTGCTGTTATGTTTTGTTGCAGGCTGTGGCATGTGCAGAGGCAGGTGTGACCCTTATATCTCCATTTGTGGGTCGTATCTTGGACTGGTACAAAGCCAGTACAGGCAAGGCTAGTTACGAACCTGCCGAGGATCCTGGTAGGTGAACAGCTCGATGAGTTTTATGTCCAGGCTTTGAATGTATTGACTTTAGTCTTAAAATTCTTAATCAGCATTGTAATTTGTCACCCTAAAAATGGTTTGAGATTGTTTAATTTGAGGTTGTTTTGCTTGAACTTGAAGTGAATATGTTTCAACAAATATCCCGCTGTAGCACAAGGTTTGTCGCTCGCTGGGTTTGGATGCATCATGCACATTTATCAACATTGTTGGTCAGTTTGTTGTTGTGATGAGTAGCACTGTATGAATTGTCCATAATTCTTGTGGCTTGTCAACTGTAGAAATTTTGCATGGATTAAGACAGGTATTTAATTACTTTTTGAGATAATTTTGGAAGCTGTCGTCCCCATTCGTGCCATTCAATCAGCAAACAAAAATTGACAAAAAATGTTTTGACCTACTGACCCTATTTTTGTGAGGCAAGTAATCACAACTGTTACAAGCACAACTATTTTTTTGGCCTGCATGCAGTAGGCCTAAGTTAAATCACCATAATAATTGTGGATTCCAAGAAATCTTGGGCAAGTGTTGATCCAACTTGGGCAAGCAAATTTATAGCATGGCCTGCCCGATCGGGCAAGCTAAAAAAAAAAGAAAATTGTTGCGGCCTGTGTAGTTTTGAGGGAATGAAGGTTTACACATTAAAGGTAACCCAATGTTGTCCAGGTGTGTTGAGTGTGAAGAAGATCTACAACTACTATAAGAAGTTTGGATACAAGACAGTGGTGATGGGAGCCTCCTTCCGCAATATTGGTGAAATCACAGAGCTTGCAGGTGTGGATTACATCACTATCAGGTGAGAGAGGATTCACACTTACTAGTATCACACCCATCCCACCCTAGTCGGATGTGTAGTGACTGATAAGACTGTGCTATTGTTTTTCTTCCCTGCAGTCCTAAATTGCTGGAAGAGCTAAAATCAACCAATGCTCCCTTGACTCGCAAGCTGTCGGTTGAATCAGGTAGGAAATCCACCACTTATCAAAACTGTTCACTTGGAATTGTCTCTGTGATTTTTTGGCATTTTTCCTACATCAGTTGAAGCACATTGTGATGATTGTCAAGTGATGCCCTATCCTGGATTTTCCAACTGCAAGCCTCATAACTTCACTGATTCTGGCCAGTTTGATTTCTAACATTTGTGTGTCACTGCTCTGTTGCTCTTCCAGTTTCTACATTTTCACTGGTCAATTGTGTGTGCTAATTTGTTAAGTTAGCATAAACCATTATTTTATCAGCATTGCTACCGAAAGTGAACCATTGCAATAAATTTTCTCATTACCAGCCCAAGACTCAGCTATAGAAAAGCTGACCCTCAGTGAGCAGCAGTTCCGCTGGCTTCACAATGAAGATCGGATGGCTGTAGAGAAACTCTCTGATGGCATCCGCAACTTTGCAGCCGATGCCATTAAGCTTGAAAATATGCTGAAGGAAAAACTTAATTAGTCAGAACAAATGACCAGGCCAGTTACAGAAACTTCAGCGATCTTCAAGTCTCATGTAGTTTCAAGCAAATCTTCAGCAATACAATTCAGTGACTGAAAGTACAAATACATCATTTTGGTGTATAAAAACCCTGCATCTTTGTCCGTCATAACTGGTGTTTACACTTAATGTTGAATGACAGATTTCACATGTACTTGTAACTTGATTGAGAATTTTCTTATGGTACAATAAATAGAATGAAATAGATCCCAGAAGTAGGTCAACTGTTTTTGTCTGGTGCTTATGCTATGCATTGTATACTACATGTACATGTATTTTTTTCAGTATCAAAATACTAGATTAATTGTAACACGACAGTGATTCATTGCTTAAATAGATTCAGTTCTTTAATATAAAGTGGAATGGTGCCATATCGAATGCCACTGTACTGAACATCCAAACATCCCCCCTTGGTTTCCGAAATTTCTGTACAGTTTTACCAAACATTACAACCTGACAACGTTGCTTTAAACATGTTTAGGACTTATGATTATGTCACAGTTACCTAATTACTTGTACATGCACAAATTTTTAGCATCAATCTCCTTGGTAATAAAAAAAAGAAACTTCAAAAATAAGGAAGAAACAATTCCAAGAATTATTCTTAAGATAAATTGGAATGATTTATTTTTAAGAAGTTCAAGAGTTGACAGATTAAAACTGAATATTGCTCCAGGATAGAATGAGTATTTTATGCAGACACAATAGGCTAATAGAAAGTTGGTAATGCAATGGGTTGATGTAAGACCCAGAGCTACATGTACTAGTTCAAACATGAGAAATGGAGTACAATTTCAGTTCAGTATGAACACCACCAGGATGTGTGATGTGGTCAATGCAAAAGTGGACTTGTTTCAAGTCTAATAAGAACTCATATGTTGAAGAAAAGTCATACAATGGAACCATTGCCAACACATGGCACAGTCCGCATCGTTCATGGGTAGCCTACATTTTACATTTATGGCATAATCTGGTAACTATTAGTGATGTTATGCTTTGCTTATGAGCATGTTGTAAACATTCTTGTAAATTTACATGCATTTTGGTAGTCATTCAGGTTTCGGCAATACACATACATACTACAAGCATGTAAATGTACATGTATGTACCAGTTAGCAAGCAAATCAATGCATGTCAGTGTGACTGGCCCTTCCATTTAAATGTCTTTGTATCTTGTGCTTTGATGGTTGCTAAGAGAAGAGAGGTCCAGGGATGGGTTTCCTGAAGTCAGATGTCCCGTGACACACTCGTGGATCCATCTGTCTTGAGGTTAGGGGAGTATTCATGAATGGAGGAAAACTTGTGCATATAAGTCTGTTGTCACATCACTCAGAGATATAAGTAATTTCTGCTTTTCATTTAGTGCACGGGAGTTGGTTAACTGTTGAGATGCATACATGTACATGCATGGGTGTTGTGGGAGGGGGGGAATGGCCACTTGTGGGGAAAAAGTTTACAAGAAAAAAGGAGAATATAAAACAAAAAAAAGATGACAGGGCATGATAATAGTATGTGTAACAATAGAAATCTCAGTGTGCGCTCACACACAACCACAAGTACTGCCAAGTACTGCCATGAAATGGTAAAACAGCTCCATGAAATTGGGCCTAGATGAGCAGGTAACAGTAACACAGCAGAATTCACACATGTAAGATATTTTCATGGAATCTTTTATAGTGGTAGTTAGTTGATTGATTAGTTATCATGACATTCCTTGACTTGGTAAAACCATACAGATGAGCTATATTGCTTCTTTCCAGGAAATACCGTGACCCAAAGAAACCTGACACATTTAATTATTTCAAGTAGTGATGTAATTTTTTGGTCATTTGTGTAAGGCGGATTTCTTTTGGAGAAACAATAGTACATCGTGTATTTAAAATGCGCAGGATATTTTGTGAAGAATTTGTGATACCTATGTACATGGATGTGTGTTATCAGGTAATTAACTGCCCTTAATTGTGTGTTACTTTGTTCACCACTATTGGGACTGTGGTTAATGGTTGAGATAAAAATTAATGTAAGGAAAAAGTTGATTGTGTAGAGTTTATGATTTAATTCCTCATTCAGTTCAGTTGTGATAAATAAGAAATGAATGCCCTTGTCATTTCCTGATTACAAATTTTGAAACATTGATTTCATTAGAACATGAAGTTTGGAAGAGAGAAATAATTGTTTAGTTTCACATTTTCCTATTTCTCTACTAAAGAAGCCACCATTAAGCATAGGAAAGTCATGAAATTAGTGACTATAGAAGTCAGTGTTTTACACCACTGGTAGATGAATTGAATTTTGTAACACAACCACACCAGAAACTGGTAAAACAAAGGTCCGTTATGGAAAACTCTTTTTATCTGCTTGTTGAAGCTAGGTTTGGGTGTTCTTTGGTAATTCTTTATTTTTCACAAAACAAGAAGAGCCTGACGTTTCGATCCTGGCAGAATCTATCTCAAAGGCAAAAAATACATATATATATTTCATTATTTTATATATATGGTCTGTGGTTCTTTTTTGGACAATGTCAGAATTTATTGTTGAACATTTCCTTTTTTAAGTTTTAAATGTGTCTAGTTCACAGAGAGAGTGAATAGATGAGGGTGATATTTTGATGCATTATTGTACACGTTAGTGTAGTACTGCTTAATATAATATACATATGCAATTTATATTTTTGGTGATGGATGTTTGAATAAAGAAAGACCTGTTACGAACATATCCTTGTATTATTGTATGATCTGTATCATAGATGTATTTACTGTAACTGCTGTTTCAGGCAATCAAGTGTCTTAAATCCAATCTTTCAGTTTTACAGTATATATTCTGTTAAGAAAAAAAATGGATTAGATGGGATGCCAGGAGAAAAAATGCTCATTCTTGGTTGGGGCATGTTGTGAAACTGAGGGTGTAGGATATCAGCATTTTGTTCAGTATTTTGTAAAAAGAGCTGCATTTCAACCCCTTTCCAATAATAATTCTTGGAATCTTTTATAAACAAGGGGTTGTTCCATGGCTCATCCCACCTCCATTCACAATGTGGAAATTAATTCCCTCCTGTGGAATGTTTGCCCCCTTTCAGCAGTCTTTCAATGAAGTTTGGATTGGGATGACTCTCTCCATAATTTCACACAAACAGTCCAGAAAAGTTGTAAATTATGCAGTGCAGGGTCACTCTTCGAGATTCAAGCATTCATCACAGCTAAGTGTTCCTATGCTATTTCCCCTGTTGATGCCTTGTGCATATTCTCATGCGCTTACTCTCATGCATGAGAATAAACGCAGTGCAGAAGCCTTGGTTTGGGATGCTTGGTGCCTTAGGTAGAGAGGCTCATAAATTTTTCAACTATAGGTTTTCCCGGCCAATTTCAGAAAATGCTCAATTGAATTTGTGAAATAAATTTCAATTTACATGTAGCATAGATTTTGAAAACAACTTAAAATCTGGTTTCATATTTGTAATAACAATCATTCAACTTTGTTTTGCATCCTCCAAATAAATGAATGTGCATTTAAAAAAAGAGGTTACAAGTACGTGATTGGGATTTCAGATCGACATATTTATTGCCAATTACAACAAATATGCATTCTCATTCGCTGAAAATCTGTCTTGTACCGTGACCCTTCGAAAGTAAGTATTCATTTTCATTTGCCGTAATTTAAAATCGTAAAATATACATTCAGTTGATCAGAAAATACAAGGTTACACACATCATGACACCACGTTGATAATAAATGTCATGTTACTCATGAATGCTTATAGTGTTTGTTATCAAACGGTGAGAATATACAGGGTTTCTATGATTGAAAGCAGCACAAGAAGGAAGGTTCCCTCAGCGCTGCTGTTGATAGGTTTCTTGCAACAGTCAGTAGTTTTAATGACAGCCTATGGTTTATTTCAATCATGTATATATTCAAACATTTAACCAATCAACTAAACATGTGTAAACATGTGTAAGTGTTAGGACACAAACAAATTCCATTTCTTGACCAGGCATACACCGTACCTTAAATAACACAAAGGCAAAATTGCCTGCATATTGTGAAATAGCTTGAGTTCAAATGAAGATGAATGAAGGATGGCAGAGGTGCATTCAATTTCAAGCAAAAATGAATCTCAATACACTAAACCAGTGCAATATTAGGAAACTGAACACCGACTTTATACGACTGAATGCACCTCTTTAAAATAAAATTTTTCTTTGTTCAACAGAAACAGGGATTTGAATGTTTGTTCCATTTCGCTTGAAAACGAATGCTATTACTGATTCCTTTACACATTTTCCAAAATGGCAGTGGAAAACAGTATACTTTTTCTGTTTTCCTTTTGACAGGATCTTGGAGAGAGTGTCATAAAAAACATTTTGATACAAGTTTGGATTCCATCGGGCCCTGCAAAGCAAAGAGACACTGATTTAAAGGGTGTTCTTATTCCTCCGTGAGGAATAAACAGAGCCGGGCATTTTGAGATGTTTTGGGACTTTTTTGTACATGTAATGCAGAGCAAACTGGATTTTTGTACACATAAATGAGTGTGGATTTTGACTGAAAAGCTTAAATCCATATTTTCATAAAATCTTTGTTCTTATTCATGCCTTATTTCAATGAAAATTAGATTTTGGCTTGTTCCCTATTTCAGAAAATGAGTTCCCAACTGAATAGCACCCTCACTCATTTATGCATGTCCCTACGTTCCTTCCTCCATGCTACAGGCATGGAGGTAGAAATAGTTGTTTTCCCAGAATAATATGGTCTTGCTCTGCTGAGTGGAACGTTGGTATTCCTCAGTCTTTTTCGATTTTGGGCGGGACAATCCCGTCCAAAATCGAAAACAAAATCAAAAAAGAGGAATAGGCTTACTACCAACCTACTAATAGGCCTTTTCCAATCATGTCATGGTGACCAACTTTCATGTAGACCCATAAACAGGGCCCGGCGTATGCTGCTAACTTCCCCCCATCCTCGCCTTTTGCTTGGGAAGAAAAATGCTGCCTGCATGCAGTTTGCGAAATTTCCCATCCCCAACGGACGAATTTTGGTCCGACTTCAGGGTGCAGCCCACTAATTCAAGTGAGAATTTCTGGCCAGCTCATTAGCATTAAAAGTGCCCCCCCAACAGTATCTTTTGAAAAAAGAGATTGTTTGGCCCCCAAAATGGTGAGATTGTGTAAATCGTTGCCGGGATGAACTCCCTGGGTCTTTGAGCTTTCATATGAGAGCAGAAGGGCTAAAAACTACGGTTAAAAAAATGGTCCTAAGTGCCCGAGAAAGTTGAGGGTTGCCACATGAAAAACTGGCTGCAATCAGACGTTGGAAAAATCACTTTTTGGGGGGTGATTTTGTTTTGTAAAAATGTAAT